GCCCATGCAGGGCATGTAGCCAGCATCTCTCCTGATACCATACCAGTGCCAATGCCAGTGGCAGCAGTGGTGGCAGGTCACAGCCAAGAACCAAAGCTGGAGCTGCTAAGCAAGCAAACGGCAGGAAGTCAACAGTGAACAGCCCAGCCCAGGAGTCACAGCAGTGGCAGCAGGATCATGAGCCCCACCTGCTGGGTGAATCTAGGATCCAGCGACTAATGCTTCAAGAAAGAAAACTCTTCCCCAGAGTGTTACATCTCAATAATACAGCCTCTCTCGGACAATTCTTGGTGAAATAACTCATGTATTTTATTCCATGTGGTAAAAGCTTCCCATTGGCTCAGACTGAGATGTTAGGGATGCTCTATTTGCATGGGAAAAGACTTCAGGTGTTGTCCCTATGTGGCTATGTGACTACCTGTCATAGCCGTCTCATTGGGGTGTCATGGTTAAGTGTTCCAGAGCAAGTATAGCTTGGCAGGGAGCTAGCCCCACCATGCCTACTGTTCTCAATTCTGAGATTCCCCTGGGTTTGGGCCTGCTCAACCTTACCAGATCTTCTGTCTGATGTCACCGTTAACTTGCCCCACAGAAGAAAGCATATCTTCTTGGTAATGTGAGCTGTTTGATTCCCTGTTTCGAAATACCTAATATGACAATACAAGCCGCAAAAGTGAGAAAGGAAAACGGGGAATTTTTAAAAAGCCCTACATTCTATACAAAGAATAAGGTTTAATTACAGTACTGTAAATCCCTTCTCTGCTGTAATAAAAGCTGTAGGAAAGATTGAAGGAGCTAAGCAGAGATCCTGTTTGTGAGCTACGCAAATTGGGTGTCTGAAGATTAAACTGCCCATCCTCCATCTATGGTCCACACAGTTAATCTCTTCAGTAACATTTTCCCTAGAGTTTTCTTGCCATTTGCAGAGTGAAGAGATAAGAACTCTGATGTTGTCAAACTGTTTTATTACCCATATAACAGCAAAGCATTATGTCTGTCAAGATTTATCTGGTTAGGTGATCATAAATAACAGTAAACCACTGCTTAGGAGGTAATAAAGGTTCATACATGTTAATTATCCTCCTTAAAGTACCAGACCTCTAGGGCTTTATTCCTCTTCTTCTTCTCCATCTTCTCCTTCTTAGTACTTATTACCACCTAACAGTATGCTTGTGTGTTTTCTGTCTTCACCAGAAAGTGAGTGCCTAAAGGCAAGAGTATGTTTCCGTTACTAATCATCATTATTACAGTATTTGGTTCAAAATGAACACCCAGTAAATATTAGTTTCATGGTTAATACAGATAGTATGAGAACTATTAATTAGCCTTTTCTGTCAAACAGTACAAAAGTTTCATGACAAACGATTCAAATCTTTTTATCTTCTCGCCTTCTAAGACTTTTATGAAATTTTTTTTATCTCCTACTCACATTCCTTGTAATATCTTTAGGCAAATGTTTTAATGCCTCACCACTACAACACTGAGTAAAACTTTTTTTTTTTTTTTTTGGTTTTTCGAGACAGGGTTTCTCTGTGTAGCCCTGGCTGTCCTGGAACTCACTCTGTAGACCAGGCTAGCCTCCAACTCTCGAACTCAGAAATCCGCCTGCCTCTGCCTCCCAAGTGCTGGGATTAAAGGTGTGTGCCACCACTGCCCAGCAAAACTTTTGTTTATCCAAAAGTCCTGCAGTATTCTAGAATTTAAGTGAGTTACAAGGCCACCACCTTCCCATTTTTTCTCCATTTCTTTGCACAAATTCTTTTAAAACTAGCTACTCATAAAGATTGTGAGGTGGCTCTGAAATCAATGGGGAAAAGACAGAGTCATCTCTGGTGTTAGAGTAAAAACCAAGTGAACTTCCTGTTTCAATATGCTTGCTATCCTGGTTTAGGTTGCTGCACACTGTCTTAGTTAGGGTTTTCTGCTGTGAGCAGACACCATGACCAAACAACTCTTATAAGGACAACATTTAATTGGGATTGGCTTACAGGTTCAGAGGTTCAGTCCATTAACATCAAGGCAGGAGCATGACAGCATCCAAGTAGGCATGGTGCAGGAGGAGGGGAGAGTTCTATATCTTCATTTGAAGGTGCTAGCAGAATTCTGACTTCCAAGAACTAGGACTAGGGTATCAAAGCCCATGCCCACAGTGAAATACCTATTCTAACGAGGCTACACCTCTTAACAGTGCCACTCCCTGAACCAAACACTTATAAACCATTGTAAGACTCTTGGGGAGCCTTAGCTTACCACTTGGAACCACTTGGAGACGTAAATTGATGCAAAAAGCAAGAGGAATTTTAATGATCCAATGCATTGGGGCTGTCCTACACCGAAGGTGGAGTGGCGACCCCAGGCAGCCCATTTGGTCAGTCTTTATACAGTTTAAGGGATGGACTAGAGAAACAGTGACTAGGCACAATATGATTAGCAGAACAGTATGATTTGGGAAATGAGGTGGCAAGGACCTGTAAGTGGCAAGGGTTGGTCTGTCCTTCGGGAAAATGTCTACTGCTCTGGGCCTTCCCCACCCGCAGGTGGATTCCCTTCATGTGGTCTGAGGAATGTTAATCAGCCTCTCCCTTCTCCTCTGAATGTTAATCCAGCAAGTGTCCTCTGACTAAGGAATGTTAATTAGCCTCTCCCATGGGGGTGGGACAAGTTTTCCAAAGTTCCTCTTCACCATCACACATACTTTTTTTTAACAAAAATAAATTGCCATACTGATCTACTTTCACTTTGTGTAGTCCTTTGTGCGACACCAGAAGTATTCTTGGTTTGATTCTATCAATAGTTGTGGGGGGGCACTCTTTCATGAATACGAAGAAATAGCTCTTGGGCTAGATAGATGGCTCAAGCATTAAAGGCCAGGCTCCCAACCAGAGAGAGAGAGAGAGAGAGAGAGAGAGAGAGAGAGAGAGAGATCTCTTATTGTAATTAATTATTTGCCACTGAGGCATTTCAGTAGCTTTCACAAAAACCCTTCATAAGAAGAATGGCTTGTATGTATTCTGTTACTCAAGTGGTCAAGTGGAGCCTGAAGCTTGAAAACAAACAAAAATGTCATTGAAAGGTCAAAAGGCAAAAACAAAAACGAAAAATTAGGAAATAAACCCCTCTAGATCTCACCAACCATCAGTAGTAGACTCTAGGAACAGGTTGGCTCTGATTTTTTTTTTTTTAATGTCACATTTGGTAAGATTTCTTTTTAAATTGTTTTAAGATTTATTTTATGTACGAGTACACTGTTGCTGTCTTCAGACACACCAGAAGAGGACATCAGATCTCAATATAGATGGTTGTAAGCCATCATGTGGTTGCTGGGAATTGAACTCAAAATCTCTGGAAGAGCAGCCAGTGCTCTTAACCATTGAGCCATCCCTCTAGCCCCATTTATTTATTTATTTGCTTATTTATTTATTTTGGTAAGAATGTTTTTATGACAATCAGAAAAATGTGAGGCAGATTTCTGAGTTCGAGGCCAGCCTGGTCTACAGAGTGAGTTCCAGGACAGCCAGGGCTACACAGAGAAACCCTGTCTCGAAAAAAACAAAAACAAACAAAAACAAAAAAAAAAAAAGAAAAAAAATGCCGGGTGGTGGTGGCACACGCCTTTAATCCCAGCACTTGGGAGGCAGAGGCAGGCGGATTTCTGAGTTTGAGAGCTGGAGGCTAGCCTGGTCTACAGAGTGAGTTCCAGGACAGCCAGGACTACACAGAGAAACCCTGTCTTGAAAAACCTAAAAAAAAAAAAAAAAAAAAGAAAGAAAGAAAGAAAGAAAGAAAGAAAGAAAAGAAAAAATGTGGTATTCAATTCTGACACTATCCCCCACCCTCAGCCCCTCACTATGCTACTCTGACCACTGACCACTCTGAAACTCACTACTATGTAGACCACTGGCGTTATTTTCTTGCTAAACCCCCAAAACAAGAAACTCAGCCAATGATTGCTTACCTAGCCATCTTACTTCTAAAAGTTCCTAAAGTTCAGGCTTAGTTTTCAGTACATATTAAAAAAAAAAAAATGATCACAAGTCATAAAAACAAACTTTATTAAAATGCTCAAGTTAATTTCGGGTATTCATATATTTATACATTGTTCATGTAGCTTAGTAGCTAAAGCAAAGTACTGGAAATGCTTAGGTGGATTCTTTCATTCCATAAATACAAAAGGTTTGATCCTGGCCTTATAATTAATTCAAAGTAAATTAATACATGTAAAACTCACTAAACCAGTATCAAATCCCTTAACATTTGCATAATGAATTAAAAGGAGAGCGTGTCAAGTACGTATCACTTAGCTCAAGACACAGCCCCAGCAGTGATAAAAATTAAGCAATTAGTGAAAGTCTGACTAAATTATACCTCTAATTGGTAAATGTCGTGCCTGCGACTATACGATTAACCCAAACTAATTATTCTCGGCGTAAAACGTGTTCTATGAATGACTCTTGGTTTTTCAAGACAGGGTTTCTCTGTGTAGCCCTTGGCTGTCCTGGAACTCACTCTGTAGATCAGGCTGGCCTTGAACTCAGAAATCCGCTTACCTCTGCCTCCCAAGTGCTGGGATTAAAGGCGTGCGCCACCACCGCCCGGCGAATGACTCTTAAATAGAACTAAACTTTAACTTAAATGTGAAAATTCATTGTTAAGCCTAAATCCAATAACAAAAGTAATTCTAGACTGGCTTTGAGCTCACAGCGATCCACCTGCCTCCCAAGTGTTGGGATTTAAGGACTGCGCTGTCAAACAGTCCATCTCCCATTTTTCACACCTATTGGCTGCCAGTGCGCACAAACTCCGCAGCCCAAAGCTAAAACGCCAGAGTCGGCTTCGTTACCCAAACCCAGAATAGACGCTGACTGTGACGTTTTCAGACCACAAACTTCCATTGGTCCGGTCTCCAAGCCAAGGCCCGCCTTTGCCACTATGCCCGCCCTTCCGTTAGAAGCCTGCTCTTGATTGGCTGCTTGTACTATTTACCGTCTATCCGGATATTGCGTGACGCAGTGAGTCGCGCGGTTGCGGAGGAGCGGACAGAGGGAGGTCGTACGCGCTCAGTTTTGGTGGCCCGGAAGGGAGCCCCGTGGTAGAGGTGACCGGAGCTGAGGTACTGCCCCGCAAGGACTGAGAATCCCAGTCCTCGTGAGGAGCGTCGGCACAGCGGGATCTGGGCTGGCTGCTACGGGCGGGCGGGCGGGCGGGGTGGGAAGGCCGGGATCTCCCTGGGCAGGGAGATGCTAAGTCAGCCCCTCGGGAATCCGCGCGGCCGCCCTGTCTGACGGGGAGAGGGTACTGTGGGGCGGTGAGTGGACGCGGAGGCTGCGGGCTAGCGGTGAGAGGGAAGGACTGGGCTCACCCGAACACTCCAGCTCAAGGAAGCGGCAGGAAGGGTCGGCAGTAATTCGTACAGACTAAGCCCAAGGGACCCGTTTTAGAGGTCCAGAACCCGCACATAAAGGCAGGTAACCCTCTTGGTTGTTCCACGACATACGACCACTCGGACTAGGCTCTGTTCGGGTCAGTAAGCTGAAGCGACAGGTTGAGATGATGTAATAGCATAAAAGTACCAGAAGGGCTCGCTTTTTTTTTCCGCAAGGTCAGATGCCTAGAGTTGTGTTCACTTCGTAGTCCCGGAAGTTCTTTTTTTTTTTTTTTTTTTTTTGGTTTTTTCGAGACTGGGTTTCTCTGTATAGCCCGGGCTGTCCTGGAACTCACTCTGTAGACCAGGCTGACCTCGAACTCAGAAATCCACCTGCCTCTGCCTCCCAAGTGCTGGGATTAAAGGCGTGCGCCACCACCGCCCAGCGTCCCGGAAGTTCTTAACTTTGGAGGTGCTAGTTAAAACTTTGTTACATCCCTGGAATTTTAGGGTAAATCTTGGGAGATTACAAAGTCCTAAGGAACTGTAGTCAGAAAGCTGTTTTGAGCCAGTTTTCTTGTATTTATATATTTTTACAAATGGGGAGAAGGCGGAAATACAAGTCACCTAAAATTCATCACATCTGTGTCTTTCGAGACAGAGTTTCTCTGTGTAGTCCTGGCTGTCCTGGAACTCACTCTGTAGACCAGGCTAGCTTCGAACTCTCGAACTCAGAGATCCGCCTGCCTCTGCCTCCCAAGTGCTGGGATTAAAGGCGTGCGCCACCACCGCCCGGCCCATGTTCACTTCTTAATTAACTTAATTTTTTTTCCCTCTACCTTTCTAACTAGCATTTCAGATCTGCTTAGTAAACCGGTGTATCACCCACCATGTTGGCTGCAAGGCTTGTGTGTCTCCGGACACTGCCTTCCAGGGTTTTCCAGCCCACTTTTATCACCAAGGCCTCTCCACTTGTGAAGAATTCCATCACAAAGAACCAATGGCTCTTAACACCCAGCAGGGTAAAGAATGCTTTTCCAATATGGGTTTCCACCCCATCCAGGTTTTCTGTTTTACAATTTGGTGGTGGTGGTGGTGGTGGTGGTGGTTGAGGTGGTTGATAGAAGAGTTTCACTGGTTGGGAGTAGCTTACCCTTTATTTAGTTACTTACTGTAACATTGATTTACTAAAGCAAGGAGTAAAGTTTCCAGTGAGCTTTATCCTTGCCAATTTACATCTCCAGTCCCTCTTTACCATAAATGCTTTAAAAGGAGTCCTGCACCTTTCCCATAGCTAATATATCCGGTAATTTTTATGCCCATATTACATTAGTGTAAAAAGATCTTCTGTTTTGTTGTTGCTCTGGATGGTATGTCTTTTTGTCAATCTCAGGAATATGCTACCAAGACAAGAATTAGGACCTACCGTGGGAAAACTGGCCAAGAACTGAAAGAGGCAGCCTTGGAACCATCAATGGAAAAAATCTTTAAAAGTAGGTGGAGGTTCACTATTTAATATGAAGCCTGTGCATGTGTTTTGTCCACAAACAACTTCCTGAAAATACATTCAAACATGTATATAAGTATTTTTGCAAGAAAAGTCTTTTCTTTGTTTTGTTTTTTTGTTCTGTTTTTTTTTTTTGTTTTGTTTTGCTTTACGAGACAGGGTTTCTCTATGTAGCCCTGGCTGTCCTGGAACTCACTCTGTAGACCAGGCTGGTCTCGAACTCAGAAATCCACTTATCTTTGCTTCACAAATGCTGGGGTTAAAGGCATGCGCCAAACAGTCATACTTCTATTTTCAGGGATCTGATAATCCAAAAAAGATTGGTGCTTTGCATTGGGTTTCATGGTTTCTGATTATATTAAGATTTACCAATTTTAGAAAAACCAAATTTATTTTCATCCTATTATCTAAAATGATAGAGCCTATTCAGAAAGTTTATTTCAAGTTATTTAGAATCTTAATTCAAGCACATGTTTGTGAATGTCAATTTCTATTTATTCATGTGTATGTCTGTGTGACTATCTGCCAGGTGTGTCCCAATGCCCACAGAGGCCAGAAGATACCTGATCACTTGGGACTTGAGTTATACATAGGTGATTGCATGCCACTTGAAGTGGATGCTGGGTACTGAACTCAGGGTCCTCTGAAAGAGTAGCAAAGGGCTGTTAACCACAGAGCCATATCTGCAGCCCCTTGAAAAGGCATTATCGTAAATGAAGTCATTTTGATTCATAGTTTGGATTTAAACTTTGAAGATTCTAAAACCAGACTACCAGATTGCTAATCTTGCCTAAACTATTTAGTTTTGGAAGTGTCACTGAATTATATAGTTGAGGAGACTCCTAGTAAGTATCATGCAAGGCATTTCTTTTTGATTATAGAGGCTTGACCACAGAGAAGAAATAAGGATTTTCCAGTAATATTCTTAATGAACAAATTTAAGTTGAAGAGAATAAAGATCTGTTCTTTATGAGCACCGGCCTCAGTAGAGATGATAAATTTTCAATATTTTAAAGCAAGAGTAGAATGTCTGTCCCTTTGTTGGTTACATAAACATTAATAATAGCATTTTTCTTTGTTGGTTCTCTAGAGTCACATAAAGCTTCGGTTACTACCTTAGGCACAATATGGAATGATTGATGCCATTTCTCTCTTATTTTTCCTTTTCTTTACTGTTTGAGTATTTATTCTTCTGAGTCCTGTTCTTGCTGTGTAAATCCAGCTGCCAGGCAGAAACTCATGATCTTTTGCTCAGTCTCCCAAGTGCTTTAACAATTGTGTGGACCTCTTTATCAAACTGTTCTATTCTTTGTCGTGATTGTTGTACATTTGTTTCAGGAGTGTCCTGGTCTCCTAAGGTTGAGAACTATCTGTATCCCCAATGTGACTACCATGAAGAAATAGTTATAATTTGATCCCCTCCTGAATATTTTGACTCATTACCCCAGCACTTTAATGTAGTTGAAATGTGCTGACTCTAGCCTGTGTCTGTTGCTGTGCTTGCAGTCGATCAGATGGGAAGGTGGTTTGTTGCTGGAGGAGCAGCTGTTGGTCTTGGAGCGCTGTGCTACTATGGCTTGGGAATGTCTAATGAGATTGGAGCTATCGAAAAGGCTGTGTAAGTAAAGTGTTCCCAAACAACCAAACCCTTCCTTCAAACAAAGGCTCCTGGTTTCTTCGTGTTTAGTCTCTAGTCACTTTTGGAATGCCTTATCTGGTTTTTATTTGTGAATATGCACGAATGTGTAGGGTCTTTTTTGTTCATTATTCATAGATTTATTCAAACCTAAATAAGAATCTTTTAGCAAGGTTACATATTCAGACAAAAAGAAAATGTTTTGGTTTTTTTATATGTATATTGGTTTTTATGTGTTTTTTAAAAGATTTATTTAGAGTACTCTATCTGTATATACACCTGTATGCCAGCAGAGGGCATCAGATCCCATTACAGATGATTATGAGTCACTGGATGGTTGCTGGGAATTGAACTCAGGACATCTGGAAGAGCAGCCAGTGCTTTTAACCGCAGAGCCATCTCTCCAGCCCCGAATTTTTCTGTGTTTTAATATGTAATTTATGGTTCATGTCATTTCATCTTCAACAGCTCTAAGATGTGCATACTTATTTCCATCAGAGCCAAGCATGGTAGTTCTTCTTCCCTTTACTCCTGGCACTTGGGAGGCAGAGTCCAGGCAGACTACATAGAGAAACCCTTATCATTATCATCATGATTAATTACTATTTCCATCATAAATAAGGTTGAAACCATTAAAGTGATTTTTTTCCAGAGTCATTTGTATCTAATGAATGCTTTAATGAGAATTTACACCCGTACTTCTGTGAGCTAACTTTGTCACATTTCTTACAGAATCTGGCCTCAGTATGTAAAGGATAGAATTCATTCTACTTACATGTACTTAGCAGGAAGTATTGGTTTAACAGCTTTGTCTGCCTTGGCCGTAGCCAGAACACCTGCTCTCATGAACTTCATGATGACAGGCTCTTGGCTGGTAAGTTAACTACTTGCTATTTTTGTGGAGAAGGTAATGCTGGATGTTTGGTGGCTTTTGTTGCTTTTTTGTGTGAAGATCAAAAGATTTCTTAAGTAGAGTCATTAATATATTTCAACAGCACTATATTAATTTCTTGTAACAGTGCAGAAAGCTTAGTCTTTGGGGACAGGAATTTCACACTCATCTGCAAGGTGAATTTACATTTACTTTATTTTTCAGCAAGTGGGTACAGAGTAGAAGTTGTTTTCTATCTGCTGTTAAATAGGAAGAATGCCCCTAAATTCAGTTTCCAACTCTGGTCTTTGTTTGTTTGGTTTGGTTTTTCGAGACAGGGTTTCTCTGTGTAGCCCTGGCTGTCTTGGAACTCACTCTGTAGATCAGGCTGGCCTTGAACTCAGAAATCCACCTGCCTATGCCTCCTAAGTACTGGGATTAAAGGCATGCGCCACCACTGCCCGGCCAGTTTCCAACTCTTAATCCTATTCAGACACATACTTGAAAATGATGCAGTGTTCTTCCATTTAATGGCCTCTCCACAATATATTTAGCAATATATTTTCTTCCCCGTATCAAGAACTGAGCCATGGATCTCAGCACATTTTAGGCCAGCTCTTTACCACTAGCTAGCACTGTATGGTTTCAGATATGGGTTCTGCTGCTCTGTGGTGGAGATCCAGAGTGCGCTGTACAATATGTGCAGTAAGAAGTAGGAAAGTGAAAGTGAAGTAGAAAGACTCTGTCTCAGAGCATCAGGGGAGTTCCGTGAAGGAGACTTAGTTCTTCAGGGTTGATTCTGGCTAACATGTTTGATTTCAGAAGATGACAAGGTCAAGCAGCTGATCAAAAGAGAAGAGCTAGGAAGACTTAATGGGAAAAGTGCTTTACAGTGCATTCGAGTGAAGTTTCAAGTGTTGTGAAGTCTAAAGGGTGAGAGGACATGGTTAGAAAGGGTATCTTTCATTTCCAAGGTGAGGTGAAGTACAGAAACAGAGACCACTGTAGAGACTAGAGTAGCTAGAGAAAATGTGCTTCTGTTTTTGAGTGTTAAGAACTATTGTGGGAGAGAAACAAAGCAAGTGCACCAGCTGTGCCACACCTCTGAGTGTCAAAATGACTGATTAGAACGCAGTGATGGTGTGTGGTACAGTGACTGAGACTGAGCAAGGAAAGAGATGGAAAGTAAACACACCTGTTTTCTATAGTGGGGAATCCACATTTCCTGTGCCTTGAACTCCAAGGCAAGAACCATTATGGTACTATAAGCATTTCATAGTCTAAGGACTATGCTCCTCAGTCCTGACTCTGCTAGCCTAGGGATTCATGAAGACAACGAATAAGTGGAGGTGAGTTCTCACGGAAAGCCAGTTCAAATCAAAGTGAATAATTTAAAATGATGTGTGACATGTAAATCAGTAGTCTGAAATATTAGCATGCATATAAAAATACAATACCAGAGACTATAAGAAAGCTCTGTGGTGAGACCATAGCCTCTGCAGCAAAATGCCACTCTGCTACTAAGAATAGTTAAGAAAATACGTGAGAAAGCTAGGTAGACCATACAGGAAGGAAGGGTGGAGCCCGTTGAAGCTGATAGACAGAAAAGCACAGTTTCTCTTGAATTAAAAAAAAGAAAGGAAACATGATGGAGGAGAAAGTTTGTTGTAGATATGCAGGATAACATGGTCAGAGGCAAGAACATCTGGGAGATGTCTATATGTCAAGGTCATGACCTTGAGCCATATGAGGAAAAGGAGAACAGAGTAGGGAACCAGCTATAAAGAGATGGTTCATAACTAAAATGCCTGGATTACACATAGGGAAGAGCAGACCAGCCTCTGGCTGGAGGGTTCAGGTTAAGGGACAGAGGTATATCAGCCAGGACGGCTCAGTAACAGGTGGGGACTGAGGGGTGCAAAGAGAACCTAGTGGTCTGGTCCACTTTGATGTGTTAAATAGGCACCTCAGCCATTTGTTCCAGGTTTGAGACCTAACATTTTTCAAATGCCTACTAGAAAAGCTTCTGAGATAAGTAATTCAGTCAGGTAGTGGGAAGGTATATGAATGTGTCTGTGTGTATTTATGTATTTATGATATGTACATATGTGCTAATGGCTCACAGCTTTATGGAACTGGTTTTCTCCACCCCGCTTGTGGATTCTGAGAATAAACACAGGACCTCAGGTTTGCATTTGGAGCTCAGTCAGAAATTTATCTGCTGACCCATCTCACTGCTCTGCAAAGATGTTTTTTGTTTGTTGTAGTTTATTTTTCTTTTGTCTCTTGCTTATTTGGTTGGTTGGTTTTTAAGATAATGTCTTCCTATCAACCTTGACTGTCATAGAACTCAGTTTATAGCAAGGGTGGCATTGGTTTTCTTGAGACAAGTTCCTAGGCGTCCATGCCTAGGCCTACTAGAACATAGTATGTGGACCAGGCCGACCTTGAATTCAGAGATCCATCTGCCTGTGCCTCCCAAGTGCTAGAATTAAAAGTGTGCCCCACCATGAATTTTTAAAAGCACAGTGGATACAGTTAAGAGGGTGTGAGATTTTGGAGTGTTTATTCAATTCTACCTATTCAGTATCACTAAGATGTAGAATGTGGAAAGGTAAAAAGCAAAATACTAAGATCTTGAAGGAAAAATATACAGTTGAGATAAACAAACTAGGAATTTGCATAAACAACTAGGAATTTCCATGAGCAAAGGGTGTAGGAAGCAGTTTTTAGTCATTGTTTCTCCATTACAAAACAGTGAGGTAGAATCCAGTATGTTTTTCAGCATCGGTTTGTTTTGGTTTTTGTCCTTCACAAAACCCAACTATTTTATTTTCCTGTCAGGTTGGAAATGATGTCTAGCAGTAGAGGGCACTCTTGCTAATGTAGTCAGTGCTGAAAGGAACTAGAAACAGAAACCCAAGTGTGCTGGATAAAGGCACAGGATTCAGTTTAGTATTCTTCAAAGTGATTAGCTGTACTTGAATGTGTGGGTCTCTCCTTTAAGGATCTCTCTCTTAATGTGTGTCTTCCAGACAATTGGTGCAACCTTTGCTGCCATGATCGGAGCTGGAATGCTAGTACAGGGAATATCATATGAGCAGAGCTCAGGCCCCAAGCATCTGGCTTGGATGCTGCATTCTGGTATGTTCTGTTACATTCTTGTTAAACTGTCTTGTATATTGTTCACTTTTTGATTGTTATTTGTTTGGCTTATTTTCTTTTTTCAGTTTTTGAGGCAGGGTCTTGATAGGTGTGCCAGACTGGCCTACATCTTCCTACCTTCCTGCGTCAGTCTCTTGATACATCTGACTTTTTAATAGTGCCCTTTTTGAGTGGCTCTTTAGTTTTAAATGACTTAGTAAACCTCATTTTTTGAAAACACAATTTCATACAGTCATTATTGTTGGATTATTGCCAGGCCTTTGCTTTAAAGGTATTGAAGATAGCTCTGAGGTTATGCTGTGCACAAATGTTTATGCAGTAGTAATTTAAAACGAGCCAGGTCTGGAGGTACTTTCTTGTAATCATAGCTACTCACAAGGCTGAGTCAGGGAAATTTAAGACAACCTAGGTAACACTGGACCCTCTCTCAAAAGACAGGTGCAGGTATGTAGCTCTGTAGTATTAGGCTTGCTGCACTCCTTACCTGATTGTGTACTCCTTACCTGATTCCCGGCATCATGAAAACTAACGGAACAACTTTACATTATTCCTTTATTGAAATAATTTTGTAACATGGGATCTTCCAGTTGGGGAAGTATTGTTGATGTTTGGTAATTGGAAATAATATGCCACTGTAATACTTTGCTGCTTTGTTTTTTTTCAAGACAGGGTCTCACTATGTAGCTCTGGCTATCCTGGAACTCACTGTGTAGACCAGACTGGCTTCCATCTCAAAGAGATCTGCCTGCCTCTGCCTTCCTAGTGCTGAGATTAAAGACAGGTGCCACTATGCAAATCCCCCCCCCTAATTCTTAAGGAAGATTTTTATAAATTCTGACAACTGAACTTCATAAAGGCTGAAGTGAGCTGTACTCCTTATTAGGTGAGGCAAATTCAGGGTCTGCCTGTCTGTATTTCAGTTCCACCACAAACTGAAATCTAGAAGTAGTCTAAGATCAAAATAGTGGCCTATATAGACTTTTACAAAGTTACTAAAAATGTAACCTACTGTTTGTGTTTGAATTGTGACCCAGTATTGATGTGGTAGAGAATTTGTATAGCCATGTATATTAATTGTATAATTTAGATGGTAATGTAGAACCACCTAAATGTCAAATTTGTTGTGTTTATGTTGCTTAGCATAAGGATCACCTTCATAGTGACATTTTCTCATTGACGGTCATTGAGTAGATATTTAATAAGACCTTACTGTCTCCCCAGGTGTGATGGGTGCAGTCGTGGCTCCTCTGACGATCTTAGGAGGGCCTCTTCTCCTGAGAGCTGCATGGTACACCGCCGGTATTGTGGGAGGCCTCTCTACTGTGGCCATGTGTGCACCTAGTGAGAAGTTTCTGAACATGGGAGCACCCCTGGGAGTGGGCCTCGGTCTTGTCTTTGTGTCTTCACTGGGTAAGCTGCTATGCTTTAAAGGGTTCAAGTACTCTGAAGCATTAAGATTTAGTTTTTAAAGCTATTGATAAGATAATTTGATTGGGTTTGATTATTTTAATACATTATAAAATCTTGGCTTATATTTAACTATTCTTGTTATTAAATTACTTGGAAACAATTAAGCTGACTTGGAAATTGCTCTAATATTGGCTAGTAACCCATTGGAGAAATGACTATCCATAAGATTGTATAAGTACCTACTCAAATGTCAAGAAATACAGAGGTAGCCTTAAGTAATGGAAACTATAGTAAACTTAAATAATGGAAATCCAGTTGTAGGAGATCCCTTTTTTATTTAAAAAAAAAAAACCTATTCTTGTTTGTTTGTTTGTTTGTTTGTTTGTTTTAGGGTCTATGTTTCTTCCCCCTACCTCCGTGGCCGGTGCCACTCTGTACTCAGTGGCAATGTATGGTGGATTAGTTCTTTTCAGCATGTTCCTTCTGTATGATACTCAGAAAGTAATCAAGCGTGCAGAACTAACACCCATGTATGGAGCTCAGAAGTATGATCCCATCAATTCGTAAGTAATCCTTACTGTGTTCCGTGATGTTTTGTTCTATGTGTATTAGTTTCACAGGGTACCACTATAGCACAGTAGCATAATGGCTTAGAATTTTTTCTCTTCAGTTCCTGAGGCTAGAGTATTAAATCGTGGTGTCAGACAGGGTGGGGAACTTTGAAGATTCTGATAGAGTATCCATCCTCTGTCTCTCAGCTGCTTATCACTGCTGGTGATCCTTGGCTAGCAGACAGCCACCTGCCATCTTCACCTGCCATCATTCTTCGTGTTGTATGTCTGTCTTTTTTTTTTTTTTTAATAAAGCCACCAGACATACCCTATTCTAGTATGACTTCATTCCAAATTATATTGTAATTATATCTTTGAAGAGCATACTTCCAAATAAGCAAATTGGACTAGTACCAGGCATTCCAACAGGTCAAATATTGCTGCTTCTGTTAGAGTGTATAGTAGAAAACTGATTATATTACAACTGAGTAGAGCATGTAGGTATCAGTTACATGTCCTGCCTGTTGGAATATACATAATTAACTGGAATGTGTAAGGAAGGGAAACAGCCCTGAAGACACTTCCCCTTGTGCTTACTTTAGACGCATTCAACACATGCTGACTTCCAATAGTATAAAATAGTGTTCTTTCTTTTTTCTTGGATTCTGCCTAGAGTTTCAAAGTGTCTCTCACATTTTTAGTAATGTTTTTCTTTACCTAAAAATAAAATAATGTAATAGCTTTTTAAAATGTTGCTATAACACTTGTAGTTTTGTAGCAGCTTTCTTAAAGGAGATGAAGTGGGTATAATTATTAGCAGATTGTGTCTTGCAAGTTTTTTAAAGGTGTGTTTCTTTGATCTGTTTTGGTTATTCCATTGTCTGACACCCAGGTTTGATACTCATAGCAGGATGTCAGAGAAAAGATAGTCCTTTAAAAATTGTGTCCATTGCCAGGTGGTGGTGGCGCACGCCTTTAATCCCAGCACTTGGGAGGCAGAGGCAGGCGGATTTCCGAGTTGGAGGCCAGCCTGGTCTACCGAGTGAGTTCCAGGACAGCCAGGGCTACACAGAGAAACCCTGTCTCGATAAAAACAAAAAAACAAAAAAAAAATTGTGTCCTTATCTAAAAGATGATTGGTTCTACAAGAAGGAAAACTGAAGGTTATCTAGTTTAGGACTTTTAACTAACATACATTGCATTTTTAATTTCCATTTAATAACACCAGGAATAATGAATGTTTTTCCCTTTTTTGTACTAAGAACTATATTGTCGTTATTATTAGAATCACATCTCTATAACATTTTTTTCTAGGATGTTGAGAATCTACATGGATACATTGAACATATTTATGCGAGTTGCAACTATGCTAGCAACTGGAGGCAACAGAAAGAAATGAAGTGACTACTTGTCTCTTCTCGCTGATGTCCTGCTTGTGTAATAGGAGTAGTCATTACAGTTTGCACCATCAGAATTCCTTGAGATTTAGAAGATAACCTGTCACTATGTTTAAAATGTTCAGTAATGTGACCCTTCAGGCCAGCCTTTTCTTATAGAGAATAAATGCAATAGATGTCTTCCAAATTAAGCACATACATTTTCATCTGTCATGCTTTCATACTTTAAAAATGCTTTGATAAATGTGTGAACAAAGATTTGTTAGAAGATTTCAAGTGTTGTTTCATTTATTGGAGAAGTAAATTTTAGGAAATTTGTGTGTCTTCATGTTGTGGGAGGCTGCACATAATATTGAAATGATGTCATGAGTGATAAGTTTTTGTATAGAGGTCAGAGATAAAAATCACCTACAGTCATTTGAATGCTTAGGACAGCACTGATTCGTGAGCCAACAAAAGGCATCAGAGATGTGGAATAAGGGGCCACCATACTTGGTGTTCCTTCTGTGCTGTTAATGATCTTGGGGTTGACTACTCTTTGTCAGGAAGGTCCAGAGTGTTAACCATATAGAGAATCCTTGCTGGAATTATATGTATTTACTGTGAAGTCTTTTAGAACAAGCTGGTTGGTGGTGGTGCATGTGTCTTTAATCCCATCATTGGGAGGCAGAGGCAAGGAGATCTGGAAATTCAAGGTAAGCCTGGTATACAAAGTGAGTTCCAGGCCAGCCAAGGGACTGTCTCTAAAACAAACATCAACAACAAAAAACTTACCAGCTATGCTCAGTTTAATGTACTCCAAAGTCCAAGATTCATTGGCTTTCAAATATATGGTATATTTGTGGTTGGACAGGGTTTTTGTTTGTTTGTTTGTTTGTGTTTTGGTTTTTTGGATATTTTCTCAGTGTCTAATTGAAAGCATGCTTTTTTCATCACAGCTTTGACAGCTGTCAGAAAAGCCTCTGTGGCTTATGCTGAGATTAGGATTGGTTTTTCTTAAGATTTTGTTACAGATCACTTGTTTGCAGCGAGGGACTCTTCATTGAGATCTGTACGTGTATTTACAGAATGACTATTTTTAAGAAGTATTTATTACAGTAATCCATAAATAACTTTTAATCACTTTAAAGTGCACTGAATGCTTACTTCTGAAATAAAAGTTCCAGCCAAATGGTTATTGCTGTACTTTTTTCTACCTGATACGTCCATTCCGTCTCACCAGAGTCTCGAATAAGAAAGCACCTTGGGCTTTTTCTATGCAGTAGATTACTGCAGTCTGCTAAGACAGTCTGTGGCTAGATGGCCTGCCTCCATTTGGATCTTGCCTGATTTCTTCTATGACCCTAGACAAATGACTTAACCTCCCCACGCCCCATTTCCTCAATTGTAAGATACAGACAACATCTACCTGTGGGGTTAATGCATATATGATTGGGCATTGTGGGAATTTTAGCTGTTGCTGTTTGTTTTTTTTTCCCCCTGCAGTAAAAAAATCTAAATGCCTAGTTTCTGTCTTTATTCTAGTCTCCATAAAGTTTCACCGTCATGTTAAGTTGAAATCTTACGGGACCTATTGTTTTCAGTAGCAGTTTAAAACCCAAAGTTTAATCTTTGATTTCATATAGTTATAAAACAAGTATGATTTCAATAGTAGTGTTGGGTAGAAGTTAAGATCAAGGGTTCTTTTACATGTGTAGGTGGTACACATGTGTCATGGTATCCTGTGGGCATGTGATGATCTGGGGGGGACAACTTGAAGGGCTCTCTCCCTCCACCATCATGGGGCTCAAGGTTTCAGCTCCGGTTGTTGAGCTCAATAGCAAGCACCTTTTACCCACTGGGCCATTCTGCCTGCCATGGGCTGTTGTTTTATTTTAATGGTAGTATTTTACAGTGTTTAGCGTCATTGCTGGAACAATAAAGACTGTAAAATGAGTTATAAAATGTACTTGGTTGGATAGTAGTTCTGAAGTGATAATGGAAAAACCTGGTTCCTTGGATCTTGATTACATATACTGGGTGAGTGGATGACTTTTATTTCCCTCACAAAATAGAGTTGGCATGCAAAATGATAGGTTTCTAGGCAAAACTGGAAATTTTATCAATTGAAATCTTATCACAGGGCCTTATGATTACATAGAAGGGTTTTGTTTTTTTAAATTCATTTTGGTAAGTCCTGGAGGCATACAAATGCCAAAGTGGTGTGTACATTTCAGTTTGTTCCAGTGGGTGGCAAACCTTTATTCTGTGCTTGAAGATTCTTTTTTGTTTATTTAGTCTTGGAAAGTTTTATACACTTGTCATAACTAGCCATTCATTCCTTCCCCTAGTGCCCCACACCTTTGTGTACTCACTAGGTCCCTTTTTAGTTATTAATAACCCAGAGTTCAGTTGATGCTGCTGCACATATGTATGTGGTTATGTGGCTACCCACAAAGGCATGAGTAACAGCAACAACCATGTCCCTGGTGGAGACTGGACGCTCTCCCAACTGCCATCAGCTACCAACAACATCCAGGATGGTGGGACCTCAGATCCCTCATATATACTGGAATTTTGACTGTCTGGATCTTGTACAGATGATCCAATGCTGCGAGTTGATAATGTATATTAGCCATGTTCAGAAGTCTGATATTTTCACAGCATTCTATCTGACATTTCTTTGCACAGACTATGAAATTCCCCAAGCCTTGGATGGTTAGAGTTTGCTTCAGAAGACCCATGCACAGCTAAACACTCAGTAACACTCAGTACCTTAGCCATTTGGAATCTGCATTAACCATTACCCAATGCAAAAACAACCTTATCTGACCAAAGTTGAAAGCAGCAGTAGTCTGTGGGTATTACGTATTTGGGAGTTAGCTTGACATTTTAGAAAAAGCAAATTTTATTCCCTCTGGTCTATCATCTTCCAAGTTACAAGCATCTACCTAGGTTTTTAGTACCAAATATGAAATCCCTCTCGTGGCACAGACCTCACTCAATCAGAAAGCCCTTGGTTACCTTCAAAACCTTCATGCCCATCTTTGTACCAGTGGCCACATCTTACCCACAAGTCAGTATTGTTGCACTCAGGGTCCAGCATTAAAGTGCAGCACCCTGCATATCACTTTCTAGCACTGTGTAAGCTAAACAACATGTAGTATAGTCTGGCTATTTCAAAGCTGATTTTTGTATGTCCCGAGCAATGGTGTTTGCCATCTAGTTATGGTGGGCAACCAAGAGCAATGGCAATAACTTATTTGGGGTGCCTCCCAGGCATACCAGGCCAACAACTCAAGGATCCCATGTTTGTCACTGGGAGCAGCATTATCTACTCACTCCATTCAAGCTCTTTTCATATATATATATACATTCAGTAACAAACTTGTTGATTTCCATAAGGCTTCTTCGTGTGTCTTTAGTTTGGGGCTAGAACTCCCCCTACACCCTCCTTAACAGCAATCGAGGGCAATGTTCACTTAATTCCAAGAACCCTATCCTCCTTTCCCCCTTTCCTGTAACCTGAATTCTACTGTCCCCTCTAATGGGGCTTTTTTCTTTGATTAGAAAATCCTGAGTTTCCATACAGCCACATATGTTTGCCATGCCATCTTCACTGTGAGGATCCTTCTGGCCAACCATATTTTCTCCTTCCCTGCCCCCTCCACTTTTGAATATTTCTACCCCCAGTAACCCCTGTCTACCTGTATTTTACTATTCCCCCCCCTTTAAGATAGCTAGTCTCAATGGCTCAATCCCAGTTTCCTGGTTTCCACATGTACTTCAGGTTAGACAAAAAATTCAAAGGAAGTAAACAGGGCTTTTGTCTTTCTCTGGGAGACCACTTTATTAAGTTATTCTAGTTCTGTTTACCTGCAAATTTTATACCTTTTCTATACTACTGAGTACTACTTTCCTTATTCATCAATTGATAGACATTTTGATGCCATTTCCTACCTATTGTGATTCAGGCAACATTCAGAACTGCCAAAATCAAGATATAAATGACAAATGATTTCTTGGGTAAAGGAAATCCTTGGACACTGTTGAGTGTAAACTAGTAGAGCCACTCTGGAAATCAATCTGGAAGTTTCTTAAAAGCTAGAAATGGAACTACCATGACCCAGTTCTATCACTCCTGACCATATGCCAACAAAACTTTACATCCTACTACAGAGAGCTACTTGTGCATCTGTAATTGCCTTTACCTATTTTCAATGTAGGATAGAGAGATAGCTCAGCAGGTAACACGCCATGGAGCCTGATGACCTGAGTTGGATCTCAAGAATTCACATGGTGGAAGGAGAAAACGGACTTCTGTATGTTATCCCTCTGACTTGTGCATGTGTCACCCATGTGCTATTTTAAGGGGGAGAGCATGAACAGGTCAACCCAGTTATGTTCTCAAAGCACATTGAGTAGGTTGATCTTGCAATGCAGAGTGATTGAGACTGGATAATGAATGGAAGTTAAGAGCTTTGCCAGTTAATTTGATCTGTTTTCAAGACTGAAATTTGGTAGTTCTTGAAATCTTGGTACCCACTGTGGGAAGAAGGAATGAATGGCCAGAGACATGTCTCTCTGAATGCTTACAACTGATTGCCAATAACCAGAAGATATCTACTGGTTTCAAAAGAAGGCACTTGGCCTGAACCACACAGTACTTAAGGCTAAGACCCTTGCTAGAGGTGAGGAATGTTAAAAACTCTTGACAACACTCTGGGTCTAAACAGCTCGAATCACTCTTCAGATATTAGCACACCCAAGTGACTCATAAATGACTCTCAGAGGATTGCTGTATCTATTAGACACTCTTAAGTAACAGATCATGGGAAATAACTCTTAAATGACTCAAGATCATCCAGAGAATAAAAAGGATTATAGAAAGTAATTTTAACAAGTTCTGAGAAGTGTTGGTACTTTGCTGAGAAGAAAGTCTAGCCTCCTCTCTACAGGCAGCAGGTGTGGGGAGTGTTGACATACTTAGAGAACTCAGCTCCACTGCAGGACCCTGACCAAATTCGCTATGGTGGTTATGCAAACTGTAAAGTTTTCAGGACTCTACTTGTGCTGGCGGTCAAGTAATACCACTGTGGATGTCTCGAAAACTAAGTATAATCAGCTGAATCAGTTGAGTAGAGTGATGCCTCCTAAAGCTAAAGTGGGGGAGGACTGTCAAGATGACTTGGTGTGTAAAGGCACCTGCTGCCAAGCCTGATTACCTGAGTTTTATTCCTAGGACCCTTGTGGTAGATGAGAACGTCTCATCCTCACACAGGCATCATTCATATGTGGGTGCATGTGTGTATATATGTGTATCCTGTGTGTGTGTGGTGCCCTTTGATGGCAGATGGAAGAGCAGAGAAATGGGGGGCGGGGAGTCTCCCTGCAAGCTTTTGTGAGCTGGTAGAGAACACAATATTCAGGAATCTTATCAGTGAAGGAAACCTCAAACCAATTGCTACCTCCATGGAAAGGCGTGGGAGAACTACCTGGCAGCTGGGAGATAGGAGTTACCAGTAGGAAGCATCACCATAGCAGTGAGAGCAGAAGGCTAGGCCCTCTTCAAGGGCAGAGATTGAGGGAACATCCCCAGGAACCCCCCCCCCTCCCCGGCATACACCAGCCTTGCCATCAGCAGCAATAATGACCACAGGCAGTCAAGACCAAGTGGACAGAATGAAGAAATCTGAGGAAGTTCCACTCAAGTTAGCTATGACCTGTTAAAACCCTCTTGCTGGGCGCCCCCTGTGCATACACCTTGGAACTCTGGCGAGAACAGCAGCTTTGGAAATGCTGTAGTAAATGTAGTTCCACTGAAGAGACCTCATGGCTTCAAGGCCATAACTTCTTACATTCCCCAGGGGTAAAGAGGGGGACGGAATCCAATGTCACAGATAAAGGAAGGCTACAGCCTGGGACCTGCTGTCATCCTCCATTAGTTGCTTCTTGCCAAACACACAGGAGGGAGAGTCATTTCTGATCAACCACGAGGTCAGTAAAGAAGAGGTGAGTACTGCCTGAGGTATGGGACTCAGGCCAGAAAGTGAGCAAACAGGGTGGAGAAGCCTTGGGCAGCTGCTTCTTCACTGCTCTGAGAAGTGATAAACTTGATTTGAAATGTTCCTTGATTTAAAATCCCCTTTGTTTTAGGTGTGTCTCCAAAGACTTTCTCCTCAGGATGGCTGCCAAGTTTTCGAAATCATCTTTGGAAACCATTCAAATTTAGGTGATTTCTTTTTTTTTTTTTCATACTAAAACCGCATATGCTTAAGACTAACAGGTGTGCCCATTAAAATGCTTCTCATTTTCACCTCTTTCTGCTTAACATGAGATTCTGAATATTCTAAGGAGCCAGCGGTGTTTCTTCCTTTTTTAAAAATAAGAAGTTTGACAGTTGTCTTTGAAATGTATATATATATGCAGAAATCGAAGAAGAGTGGTTGTCCCTGTAGATGAGGCTGTGCTCTGGGTTTATCTTATATACCCTCTCTGAACTATCTTAATTTGCTTCAATACATTTTTGTGAACATTTTAAAGGGAGGCAAAATCCCAACATAGGAATCCATTTTCCTCCAAAAATTAATGACCCCAGCAACACCTGCAAACATGAGAATTCTGGCTTGTGTGTGTGTCAGAACAAGCCCCCAAGATAGCTGATTCCTGCCACCTTTAACTGAACAATATCCTTGTGGCTTTGTCCTGCAATAAGGAACAATCTGTGCTAAGAGTCAAAACCCCATTTCCAGTTCCATGGTGGAGTGCTGAGAAATCCCAGGAGAATGACCTGGCATGCTGGCTCAAAAGATCCAGACAGTATTCCCCTAATTTCTGTACCCACTAAGCAGTCTGAGGTCAGAAACAACTTCAGAGCTGGTGCCCAGGAAGACAAGGGGCAGCCACTGTTGGAACAAATATGTGTCTTTTCTTGAGGTTGCATTAGAGAACAGTTGGCAGACTGTAGGAAGTGACCTACAGTCCTACAGACAAGGAACCTGAACTAATTTCTTTGGATAAACTAACTGTAAAATTTTTTCACATCTATAAAAAGCATAGACTGCTGGTTAAAATGTCCGTCCCTTGACCATTAATTTTCTTACTGAACCATTTTGGACATGAGCTTAAACTGCTTCTCTAGCCAACAGCAAACAGGGCCTCAAGGGAAGTTCCACGGACCAGTCCCCAGCGGTGAGAGATGTCTGACTTGTATGCCAGGATCCTGGAGAGTTGGGTACAATGTGACACCCTTCTATGGGACCTGCTAGGTTAGGAACCAGCCATCCATTCTTTGATTCCAAGAAGTGTATGCCTATCAAGACTAAAGACAGTTGCCATCCCACCATAAGGACAATCTCAAGTTCCATGTGTATTTACACAAGCATGATACATGAAGGGTCTAGAAACCTTTCTGATTTCGGCGGCGGGGGGGGGGGGGGGGAGGGGTGTTGGTCCTGCAGGCTGGCCCACCGTCCAACATTCCATATTTCTTAAGCCAGAGTCAATTGCTTTCCTGTGGAGACACCATCCACACATGTTCCTTGCGCTCTCTTGGCTGAAGAACATTTGCATGCTTCTCAGGCTCTCATTCCTTAGGTTCTGATATGGATGTATATAATGTACCCAGTTCCTCCTCTCCTAATTTACCTCCTCTTGCCCGAGCTTTTGTACTACCCAAAAATTAACCTGTAAGCTTCATTTGCTTAACAACTAGTTAACTTCCTGGGATGCTGGAAGTTGTAGTTCTTGGAAAATAACAAAGCCTCATGAGAAAGTACAGTGGCCTATAAGTCGGTCTTTATGAACTCCTACAATTGTCTTGAGAGCCATGAAGCTGAGAAATTCCAGGGAATGGTCCTAACCAAAGTCTGTCTCTTGTTCAATATTTAGTACTTAATAGAACTTGAATTAAATTTTGCTCAAAATGGTGGAATTGGTTTTTTGCCATCGAATCTCAGGATTAGCACCCATCTCCAGAATGACAGCCTGACCTGGGCACAGGTGGCCAGGTGCCTTGGACTCTCGGCACAACCTAGGCATTACAGAGCTCTGTGTCACTCACAGCTTCTCAGAGAAGCCCATGAGTCATAATGATGCCACAGGCCCAGTGTCTGCCTTACCCTTCTTTTGCTCCCTGAGTTTAGGCCATTTGTCTCCCAGAACTTTGACGCTGGGAGGAAAGAGAAGTCTGAGACCTAACCATCAACATCACCACACTAGGTGTTAGGAAAGCCTGGGAGAGAATATTCACAAGCTTGGTCTGGAAGGAGGACAGGAACTGGTGCAGAAGTTGAGAGTTTGAGCAGAGTTGAGGAAAGGCTCAGTAGAGTGTGTAGCAATTGTCCACATACTATCCTACGCAGGCTGGAGATCACCTGGCTCCTCTTTCCCTCAAGAACAGAGTCTGTCACTTGCTAAGGCACTGTGGTGGTTTGAATATGCTTGGTAGAAGGAGTGGCACTCTTAAGAGGAGTGGCCTTGTTGGAGTAGGTGTGATCTTGTTGGGGGAAGTGTGTCACTGTGGGCATGGGTTTGAAAACTCTCATCTTAGCTCCCTGGAATTCAATCTCCTAGATACCATAGAACTCTCAGCTCCTTCAGCACACCATGCCTGCCTGGATGTTGCCATGCTCCCAGCTTGATGATGGACTTAACCTCTGAACCTGTAAGGCAGCCCCAATTAAAAGTTGTTCTTATAAGGGTTGCCTTGGTCATGGTGTTTGTTCACAGCAGTAAAACCCTAACTAAGACAGGCACCCATATAATACTGTGCTTGTCCTGTCCTACAGGGAGGTAGCTTCCTATTGTTACTCCCTATCCTTAGGCCATGTGTTTTAGAGACCGCAGACCTAACAGACAAAGAGCCCCTAAGAGTCCACAATCTGTCTACCCAGGGCTACCCTTTTCATCTGTAGTCCAGGAAGTCCACCACAACTTGACTCACCATACTGGCCCACTGTCCTACCAACCCCTATCTACTCTATCTCTGAGCAGCCTTCTTTCCTTCCTTCTCCAACTGACGGTACATTATCTTTATGGGCATTCAGCATAGTACTATGTAGTGTGGCAGTCATTTCTTTGCACAGCAGTCTCTGGGATCAGGCACAGAATCACATCCCAGTCCAGGCCATGTCTAAGGAATGGGCAATCTAGCTTCCTGAGGCTGTGAAACACTCCCTTTCTCCTCTAGTCAGATTCTTTCAGATATCATGCCTCGCTCAGGCTGGCATGTAGCACACTTTTTATTTAATCACGTTGCCAGTTGTTCACCAAGGACTAACTTCAGTCCCCATATAATTTAACAATGGTATAAGTACTCAGCTTGGGACAGATGACTTCTGGAACATGGCCTCGGGCAGCTCTGGGCCCACTTCACAGATGGATAGCAGACACAGAGACATTTAATGATAAGTTCAAGATAACACCGCTGATAAATGTCAGAAAGGATTCACACCTAGGCCATTTGGCTTCCTCAGAGCCTTTGCCTTTGCTTTTATGACCCCTTTCCCAGCCCACTTACAAGAGAGCAGGAAGATCTGCATTCGATGGAGTTATTGCACACTCTAAAAGTTAACGTTCAACCCTGGACAGGGGCTTTTCACTGCACAAGAGTTTCTTTTTCTAACCACTGAGGCCAACACAGAACAGCTCTCAGGGCTAGACATTTAGAAGTACATGCAGCGAGTCACCCAATCCTCCTGACTTCTTGAAGAGCTGGTTTATTATCCTGTTGGGAGGGGCCCACTGTACTTTTGAGACTTCTAGGGCTGGAATGCCTTGCCTATGGGGAAACGCCTCTTTCTGCCACCCTATAAATGTCTTCAGAGGCCAAAGGGAGATCTTTTGTGGCACCGCTTCCTCCTGTGAGACACCAGCTTCCAGCTACTTGACTATGAGACTTCTAGCCCTTGCCGGTCTGCTCTGCATGCTGCTCCTCTGTTTCTGCGTTCTCCCCTCAGAAGGTAACCTATCCCTGGGCTCTGATCCACGAGCATTGATTCCATGGTCAGGGAAGGTTTCAAACAGAAACTAGCGGGACACAGGTCCCAGCAAACAGTCCTGAACACTGGAGAGAACTATGCAGATATTTTGTTCACTACAGTGTCCAACAAGTAGCTTGGGGACTTCAGGCTTTAGAGCTTTTATGTGCCATCTTCTGCTCCCAAAGATACTGCAGGCCTCTTGTGTAAACAGAGTTTTGGCACCAGATATATAAATGGAAGACATTGCAGCTCCAAGGTACAGTTAAAGGGAAGGTATATATTGTAGATTCGAGGTAAGTATAGCCAGAGACATCTGGAAGAGTCCAGAGCAGAGAGAGGAAGTAGTACACTGAACATAGCCAGCAGACAGAATTTGATCATGAGAGAAAAAAGGAAGAAGAAGAAGGGCAAGAGAGGAGGAAGACAAAAATTCAGGCAAAGGAAACAAAGAAAGAGAGGTCCAAGAGAGGAAGACAAAAGAGAGCACACATGGCTGAAATGTCATGGTTATATGGGAATGAAAAGCTGGGGAAGAGAATCCCATGGTTTGTAAAAGTTGAGGATAGAAGGACAGAATGAGAAGAATTGAGAAGAGCCATAAGTTGTTCTCCTGAGAAGTCCTGGAGGCCTGTGTGCACTTTGGTGTGCTATCATGCTCCACAGAGAGCCATTTGTCTCTTCTGAAATTAATAAGGAAATGGCTCCTTTGGTTGAGGAAAACATGCACCAGAATTTGGGGGAGTGGAGTTTCCTTTGGACCTGACAACTATATGAAGTTGCATACTTACCATACAAGCACGAAACCACTAGCTAGTTACTAACCGGAGTCATTCTTATCTGGAAAGTCAGGCGGCCACTATTGCCACCTGTGTCACATTTAGGACAATGTAAATGAACAACTGGCCATCTAAACTCGAGTATTTCAAATGCTTCTACACAGAAAGCTCCATGTACAGAAGGAAAGGGGTTATGTACAATAGAAGGATATACATATGGGAACATACATGGTCTTTTCATCTTTGTAGAGAAGAATATTTAAACCTGCTGCCTTTGAGACTTATTATTTTATTTATGTGACTGTATGTGGAGATGCCACATGTGTGTGGATGCCTTCAAGGGCCAGAAGTGGGTGCTGGACTTCCTGCTATGAAGTGACAGGTGGTTGTGAGCCACTGGACTTGAATTCTTGGAACCAGATTTGGGTCCTCAGGAAGAACAGCAAGTGTCCTTAAAGCCTGAGTCAGCTCCCCACCCCCCTATTGCCTTTCTTCATTCTAAAAGCTGAGTATTGGAGTCTTTTTCTCTTACTTAACGCTATATTTACTTTTTTATATCAATACTTATGATGATTTTAACAATTAGTGGACATAAAGGATTTAAAAAAAAACACCCCTCACAATATTACTTAATCACCCAAAATACTGATGATTGACTTCAGTCCTGTACAGGATCCTTCCTGAGTAGTCGGGTTACAGGAAGTATTTGCTTTTGGTTTTGGTTGGTTGGTTGGTTGGTTGTTGCTGCTCACGTTTCTATGGTGAAAATGCACCTTCTATAAGGAAGACAACAGTTGGTTTCTTCAACACAGCCCACAGCATTGCCATTTATCAGAGCTTTATTTTTGGACAGTTTCAAAGTCACCAGTATGATTCTAATAGAAATCCAATGGGAAAGAATGGTGTCTTTGACCTTAACCCCCACCCCTTTAGGATTGTATTCTGCAGCTTCAGGGTGTAGCATTATTCAATAGATATATATGTGTATGACTTAACATCCTATGAGTGTTCATGAATTCATGTGCTCAGACAGACTATATTAAATGTACAGTCTCAAAAACTTTGTGTATCTAAATTGTTTTCTGTATTTGGGATGTTTTTCTTAGACTACAGATCTGGATTGCCAGTCAGAATTAATGTCTAAGCACAAAGACATTTCTCCACAGGGCTAAGGTTTTTTCAAAGCATCATGAGGAAGGGTACAGTGACCTCCAAGATTGACTTTATCTCTGGAAAGCCACAAAACATAGGCTACCTCTGCCTTCCTTCGACAACCTCATCCTGGTTTTGTTGCTGTTGTTGTTGTAGGTGGTTGTTTGTTTGTTTTTAAAACAATTATTCTCTTTTTGTTGTGGTTTGTTTTGATTTTTGGTTTGTTTTTGTTTTTTTGTTTGTTTGTTTGTTTTTTGAGACAGGGTTTCTCTGTGTAGCCCTGGCTGTCCTGGAACTCACTCTGTAGACCAGGCTGGCCTCGAACTCAGAAATCCGCCTGCCTCTGCCTCCCAAGTGCTGGGATTAAAGGCGTGCGCCACCACTGCCCAGCTTGATTTGTTTTTTAACACAGGGTTTCTCTGTGTAACCCTGTCTGTCCTAGACCCTGTCCTGTCTGTAGATCAGGGTGCCCTCGACCTCACAGATGTGCCAGTCTCTGCTTGCTAAATGTTGAACCTAAAGACATGTGCCACCATTGCCCAGCTTTTAATAATTATGGTTAAACTCTGGGTCTTGTGAGTAGAAGTTCTCCAAAGTCATTCTTATACAGACTGGCCCATGGTGGCCCTGGCCCACTAAACAAGGCTCTGTATTCCTTTTCTTCTCAGGGAGAAGGCATCCTTCCAAGTCCTCAAAACTCAGGCCCTGTTGTAGCCTATCTTCTAGATCCAAGCTGACAACACAGCAAGGTAAAGTGACCCCATCCTGTCTGATTTGGAAGTGGGAGGATTTCTAGGGCGGCCATGGGACCAGCCAGTTGACACCTGGTTTCAAGTGCTAGTACAAAGGGACCAAATTCAATCTCAGGCACATAGAGTTTAGAGTTCCCTGAAGAGGCAATAATTTAATCATTTAAAGATAAACACTTTCTGTCAAGAAAAAATATATAAGTACAGGGGCCAGGCATGGTAGCACATAGTAATCCCAGAATTAGAGAGGCTAACACAAGATGAATGTGACTCTTGCGACCAGCTAGAGATACACAATGAATTCATGGCTCAAGGGCTGGGGATGTGGCTCAGTCAGTGGAAGAGTGCTTGCCTAGAAAGCTCAGGGCCCTGAGTTTATATTCCACTGGAAGGAAAAAAAAAAGGATAGGAAGAGAGGAGAGATGTGGGAAAGTACCCATCTCTGAATGGGAGACCTTATGGAAAGATTATGAGACAGAATGCAGATGATAGAGAATAGAAGAGAGATCAAAGAAACAGCAAGTATGAAGTTCTGGTGTGAGCAAGCAGGAGGAGGAGAGACAGAGGAGCTACATGACAGAGGGGCCCAGAGCATCTGCAAACCATAGCCCACCTATAAACCTGAAGCAGAACCTGCAAGCTGATCTCCAGCCAGCGAGTGGAGTATGTGGATGCAGAGAATGACAGCTTGGTAGAAGATAAGGCTGCACCCAAAGATGTAGACAGAGACTCTGAGGCTCAGTCGTGACACCAGGCTGGGATCCATGATCCCCATGAGCCTGCAAGAGCCAAGCTGCCCTCTCCCAAATCTGGAAAACCAGAGAGTGGGTAGTAGTGAGGTAGAAAGTCCCAAGTCCAGATCCAAAGCTCACAGATTGCAGCATCAGGACTCCAAGCCAGCAGCAGACTGAAGCTCTGAGTTGCTGTCCCAGGGTGGATGCTGGACTTTTGTGATTTTTGTACAGAATCCTTAGGACAGTCAGAGCCCTGTAAAAAGGCTACAGAACTCAAGCCAGAGAGGTCCAACTTCAACTTAGGACCTGTGTCTTAGCTCTCGACAGACCCAGTGCAAATTCTTGCTAGTCCAAGACGACAGCTCCCCTTGTTCCTCCAGGCTGAGGCACCTGAAGCCCATGACCAGTTACCAAGAGTCCTGTCTTCCAAGAGGAAACTTTGATGTAAATGCATCGGGAAAAAAAAATGAGGAAGACAGGATAGCTCAAACCTCACTACCCCTGAAAGGCTGACAGCCCCTCCTCCACACTGCCATCACACCCTGTCAGGGCTGGGTAAAAATAACTGCTTCTCTCGCACGTATCTCGTGAATAACCAAGTGTGAGGCATCCGCCTAGGGAAGGTGGAGGATGAGCACTGGCTGCCAGCAACTCTGCTCCCACAGCAGCTTGTGAAATAAAGTGCAAATGTAGGGGAGAGAGGTGCCAGCTCCCTACTGAGGGCTTGCAGGAACCTGTCCTTGCTGCTAGCGTCTCCCCTGCACAGATGCACAAAGGCAGAAGAGAAAAGAGGAAATGAGGGAAGGAGGAGTGTGCATGTGTGAGCACACACTACACGTACTCACATACCTCCACAACCACACAGATGCATAGGCAAGTACATGCATGCAGACACATGCACACCACATAATTACACAAAAGCATTCACATTACACTCACAAACCTACACACACCACATTATTGACACACACAGATATCACAGGTTTAGGGTTATGGACACACAAATACATACAAATACCACCTATTACATGTATAGACACAAACACTATACACATATTAACATACAAATTCATGCCTACACACAAATATACATACATAACTACATACAAATATGCACATCACATATACACAAACATATATCTAAATGACACACACATAAATACACATGTACAGAGGGGGATGGATAAACACACCACACTCTACATACAGCTCCTAGAAATGTAGAATGTGGCTAGGTACACTTTTTGTGTTCAACACAAGAGCAGCCTTTTGTTGAGCATACAATACTATAGGAGAATGAACTAAGTCACCTATCCTATGTTGAATCAGGATTTCCTTTTGAGCATATGTTTCAAAAATTCCATGGCAGAATTCATGAGCAACTTAGAACAAGAAGACTGAAGCAAGCATCTTTACTGGACCCTTACCATGTAAACACCAGGCTCTGTAGGTCTTTAGCACTGTAACTGGCTACCTCATCTCTGGAGGGAAGTTTCCCACAGAATGTCAGAATAAATTTTCCTGGAAGGAAAGTGTCCTCAAGGTGGAGTCTGAGGTCCACCACATCTTGGCTTTGTGCTCCGGAGCATTCTCCTCCTCTGTAGAAAGTGTGTGGCTGCAGGATCCAGCTTGCTTGCTGTTGAGAAATCAGTAGGATGATGTCCACAGAACACTTGGCATCAGGCCAAGTCCATGACACCCTGTGAACCTGTCTTCCTGTCATAGTGGAGGAGGATGGGTTTCCAGGGCAGCAGCACTCACTCAAGAACCTATGTGTATTATGTATCTTTGTGTATGGAGTTACATAACACATAGGCGTTGTGTACCTGGTATTTTTATATGTTTCTATGTACATGTGTGTGTTTGTGTATATGTGGTGTGTGTGTGAGTGCGTACATTGGTGTGTGTGCATGCATGTGTGTGTGTGTGTGTGTGTATACCTCTCCTTCCTCCAGCGTCTCTTTTCTCTCTTGACTTTTTACTATTGCTGATCACGCAGCACTAACCCAAAGCACATGCTTGTCCAGGCCTGGTGCTTCCACCCAGCGTCTTCCAGGACAGACCTGAGATCCAGAGAGAAGGAATGAGAAGATGAATCAGGGAATTGGGCAATCCAGCGCAGAATTTCAGAGTGTTTCCTGTTCCTGTCATCTAGTCTCCTGTACTGGGGTTCACAGGCAGGAGTGCCTGCTCCACTTTCTACAGGAAGGGAAATTAGGCACTCAGAGTGACTGCCACTCATTCCAAAACCTTTCCCAAGCTCAGCTTTGTGTCCACTTGCTGGGCTAAGCCTACGAAATGACCCAATGTGCAAGGCTTGGGATTCTATGCTGAAGTAACAAAAACCCTTTTGAAAATTGACATGATAAATGAATAGCAGGCTGAAATGACTGCACTTAGCAGCTGACTGGGAGAAGTGGGATAGAGCTTTCTTAAAATGGTTTTATAAACTGTAGGGTGATCTGCTTAGGAGTACTGTCCAGGCAGCACTTTTGAAAGGAATACTCAATACGCTGACACAGTTGGCAGCTACCGAGGGGCTTAAACACTGACCTCATGGTCAGTGCTCATAGCTGTGGTCAGACTCATAGCTTTTTAGATCCCACCAGATCAAAGTTATGAGCCTTTGTCAGGGCATCTTCTTTCCATGTGTTACCAGGTCACCAGGGGAACCTCTTGGGAAGCCACATAGAGAAACTCCTGATCCTTGAGACAAGCCCAGATCCTAAGGATTTGCACCACACTCTCTGTTTCAAAGCTCAACAAAATGAGTTAACTCAGGCCAGACTTAGGGTGGAAGGCAGCAGAGCCTGTTCCCTTACCATGCAGCTGCCTCTGTCTTTACAAGCAGCTTAACTGAAGTGATAAAGATTACCCACTGGGAAAGAGGGGTTACTTGAGGATTTCAAAATAGCAACACCAGAGTAGATGTATAACATATAGACCAGAACAATAAACACTAGAAAGAAGGCAGTGGCCAGAGCTGGCAGCCTTACTGCCCAGGAGTCCAATCAGAGGAAACGATTCCCCGTCTTCTGATCCTTGCAATTCTCTTCATTAGCCTCCTCTGCACCATAAGCCATCCTCACCCTGGGTAACCCAAAGCAGTACGTATAGTTTGCAGTGAGTTTGCGTATCAGATAGATCAGTCTTTCATCTTAGCCAATCACATTCATTTGCTTGTTTGCATGTTTGGGATAGGGTGATGGAGTCTAATTGGTGATGATTGTATGAGGATCAATAAGTATTGCTTTACATAATAAGTATTTACATTCACTAACACTTGTAGTATCCTAAACATTAGATACCATTACTGTTGCTGGTGTTGTTTTTTTTAGGATGCAGGGCCAAACAACAGAGAAGATAAGGTAAAGTAACTTGTTGAAGGTCAAGTCAGTTGAAGGCTAGTGAGTACTGTAGGCTTTGAGTCCAAGCAATACATCTCCAGATTTCATGCCATTAATTTCCATATCACAATGCAGATAGAAAGTAAACTTGAAACATAGAGGAAAATAATCGTATCACCATTACTTATAACCCTTTCCACTCTAGTTCAAATAACACTAGCTCAGTGTTATTTTAATTGATGCTGGGAATGGCCCATTTAGGTTCCAGAGTGGGCAGTAAGATTCCTTTATTTTGATTTCATTAAATTTTTAGGTGTAAGCATGAGTATTAATTGTGTCTTTCTCCTCTCTCCACCCATGTTCTACTCTCTTCACTTTGCCTTCCCATGCCCCTTCTTCATGTCTGCTGTGACTCACGCCCAGGAAACTATACAAGACACTGCAGACCATGCAGAAGGAAGCTACCACCCAAGTTATGGGTGGTGCCTGGGGCTCTCCCACAGATATAGAACCTCCCGAAGCGTGCCTCCACCCAGATGATGCCCAGATGTGGAGACACCAGAAGCATTGACTTGCCCCTTGCCAACCTTCACAGCCATTGAGCTGTGATACCAGAATGCTTCACTTCAGACAGCTGGAAGGATTGCAGTATCCCAAGTCCTCATTCCAAAGGTGCCACCAACCTTCAGAGTCACTATGATCCAGGATCAGCCCACAAGTCTTCATGGCTCCTGCAGAGTAAAAGTCCAAGATTCCACTTGTGGAAACTACAGATCCAGAGAATTCCAAGTTGACTAGAGTGCAAAAGTAACAAGACATCTGTGTGATTAGCCAAGAGTACAGCATTTTGGGAACCCTCAGACAGCCCCAAACCCCTAGCATTTAGCCAGTGGTCTCTGAACCAACTCCTGTAACTTCCTAATGTAATCACCAGGAGAACACCAAAAATAATAAATCATAAATCAGCATACACACTATTCCTGGAGCTTCCTTGTCTGAGAAAGTATCATGGCCTGAGATACAATGTTAGGCTAAAAAGAAAGTGTCGGCAAAAACTCAGAGCCCACTCCTTCGTCACAGAATAACCTGACCAGTCAGGAAAAGGGACAGTATTTATGTGTTTGGGTCCCACACAGCAGAGCCTAGCCCGGCCCAGGTTTTTCTGTATGACTTAGGCTTGACTGTTCAATTTTCTATACAATAGAAATGACAGGAAGAATGACAGCAAGCAGACAGATATAGGTCTCTACAAAGTGCTTGGCTCAGAAAGACCCAGGAAACACATCAACCAGAAGCAGTGTTTCTATCCACAATGAGCACAGAGCTCAGAGGAGACAGGTGGTTCAGTTCTAAGAGGTTTGTCTCAGTAAAGCTCCCTCTAATCGGATCCTCCCGGCAAGGTGAGAAGCACTCATTCCTGCATTACTCCCAGGCCTCAGTGAGAACACCAGGACCATGAAGTGCAAGGCTCATAGACAGAGCATCCTTTGAGACAGCCATTCCCAGGCAATTCAGAGCCTGTATCTTCTTGTGAACCAACTTTCCACCTCCCTTTCATAACCATTTACTCACTCACTCAGTCATTCACTCACCCACTCCCCCCTCTACCCATTCCCAAGGAAAACAGTGACCAGATCCTTCACAGGGCTCTAATTCTCAAAGAACAAGATCTTCTGACATCTGAGAGTCCTACATCACATTGCTGTGTTGTTAGCAGAAGGTGAAGAACTGTAGGTGGCAGGTAAGAGTAAAGCAAAGAAGACAAGTACCCGAGACATGGATTCAGTGGGAGAATGTCATCTAGAGAGGAATGTGTTCTGTATGAGAGAGGCACTGTGTATGCTGGGATGTGTTTATTACACTTACGTGGTATGTGTTGGTGTGGTATGTAAGTGTATAGGGTGTACATGGCCCTATATGTATTGGGATGATGTAGAGGCATGAAGATTTGAGAATCAGAGCACAGGTCAACAATTGTGTTGTGGGCCAGAGGAAAGGGAAAAGTATACCCTGTCTTAAGCAAGCAAGCAAATAAACAAACAAAAAAACAAAACCAAAAAATATTACTTGTAGATGAGTAAATTTACATGTAGATGTTGTATATATTTATGAATGTGTTTGTGTGTGTATGTGTGTGTGTATACAAGTGTGTCTACAAACAGGAGTTGAACCCATTTTTGTGTTGTAGATAACTGTGTAAAAATGTATGAGAGAAAGAGACTGTGGCTTAGCAAACTCTTGCACGGTGGTTCTTTATCTGTGGGTTGCGACTCCTCCTGTTAGGAGCCGCGTTCGCCATTGCAACATGGCGCCGGTTTCCTGCTTCCTGGTTCTTCTTGAGAGCCTTGCTTGAATGTGCGCCTGCGCAAGGTGTGAAAACCAGTATGCTAATTTGGCGATATCATAAGAGCCAATGAGTGTGTGGCACGTCTCCTAAGGCTCTATATAAGCCACAGGTTTTTGGGGCTTGGCGTCCCTCGCCTCACTGCCATCTAAAAGAGCTGTACAATAAATTGCTGTCAGAAGAATCCTGAGTGTGGCGTTCTCCTTATCGGCGAGGCTGCACGCCGCATCCTCCTTTCACAAACCTCTATCTCCAAAAAAATTTACACTATAATTCGTAACAGTAGCAAAATTATAGCTATGAAGTAGCAACAAAATATGGTGGGAGGTCACTACAACATGAGGAACTGTACTAAATGGTCACGGCATTAGGAAGGCTGAGAACACCGGGAACACACATCCGTGTCAGGCAGGCAGACGACATTCAAAGTCTTATTTATTGACAACTGGACCAGCCACTATAAATCCAAGAGAAGAAGAGCTGTCAGAACCTGAATTAAAGATGACCTAATTAGGAAAGGCATGCCAGAGGTCATGCAGGAAGGCCGAGGAAGATAAAAAGCTCATGAGTCATCCTAAAGGGTGATGGGCATGTGGCAATCAGTGTAAGTGATGTATGTGAACCTGCCCAGGGTTACAAGGTAAGGACCAATCCTTGAGTTCATCTTCCAGGGACATCAAACCAAGCCCTCCAGGTAGTCACCAGACTATCTAGACCAAAAGGTCAAGATTATGGTGCATAAACCAGGTGGTAAGCATGCATGCCTTTAATCGAGGGACTTGGGAAGCAGAGGCAGGCAGATCTCTGTGAGTTCAAGGCCAGCCTTGTCTACAGAGTAAGTTCCAGGACAGCCAGGGTGACCCAAGGAAACCCTGTCTCAAGAAAGGAAGAGAGAAGATTGTGGTGCACAATCAGAGCCACCAGGAAGAGCTGCTGTTTGTATGTGTTCTAAGGGCAGGGCCACATCTAGGGCAGCCACCTACCCATGACAGTTACCGGATACTTGCCTGATGTTAGTATTGAAAAGTCTTGTTTTCTGTGAAACCCAAGTCATAGGCAAATGCAGATGAATGGCCAGCCCTCTGGCAGAGCTTGTACATATGTGAGCAGGCCAGTCTCTTTAAGGAAAATTACAGTTATGGACTGGAGTGGGCAATCTAAAGCTTCAATAGCTATGTGACTAGGTACCTAAACTACAGAGAGTTTCAATTTGAAAGCCAGCCCAAATCCGATGAGACTCCAGTCTCTAGCCCTCATTGGTTGGGTGAGCCTAGGAAAGTGACTTGCCTTCTCTTGATTTTAGAGCTTTCCCCTGTAAACCACAGGCAATCAAGCCAGGAAAACAGTGAAGATTAAATGAGATACACAGTTGAGGGTGAGTACACACACATACACACACACACACACACACACACACTCAATGGCTAACACATCTCTGTCCCTCTCCAGTCTAAGTGCCTTGTTAGAATGAGCTGAGAGCACAGAAGTCAAAGGCCTGAAGGAGCCTCTTAGGGAGGAGATGGTGGAAAAGGTGCAGAGAGAACCAGGTCTCAGCACATCAGCAAGACACCTGCTTCAGGAACCCTTAAGTCTGAGTATTCTCCAGCAAACCTGTCTCCCACTCTCTGTGTAGGACCTGACTTTGTACTCACATCTTGAAAAGCAAAGCTGCAGAAATACTTGTGTGATTTCCTGTACTCATTCTCAGCCAAAAACCCAGAAGAATCCACACAAAGGCTTTTAATCAGAATACCCAAAACTTTCCATTTTCTTGGTGTACTGATTCAGCTCCTCCTATGGCTCTCTGAATACCTGAGTTGCTCAAGGAGGCTTGGCCCAAGGGGTATAGGAGCTCTGCTCCCATGAAGTACCCGAGAGGCAGGATTCTGGGACCTTCAGGGAACTTACAATGGGTCTACTTTGTCTAAGGGTACAGAATCCCAAGGGCAGCTTTGAAAGCAACCTGGTTTCAAGTTATCACTCAAATTGGTGGAAATACCTCACCCCAACTGATAAATGGCCCAAAAGAAGGAGGGTGCAAGGGATATATCTCTGCTCATACTCCAGTGTTAGAGAAGAAGGAGGATTTAATCTAGGAAGAGTCTTGGACTTTCCTGCGTTCCTACACCATTCCGGACACCACCCTCTCTACCCTTGTTCTTTTGGTCTCACTCAGATCTAAAGAACGAATTAGCAAGGCAATGCCGCCTCCCATCCTCCTTTTTTTTTCTCTCAGTGCCTACCCCTCCGTCCTGAAAGAGCTATTTTTCTACTCCTTATTTAATTTCCATGAATGCTTTGATCAAAGAGGTCTTGACCCCCTGAAAGCCACAAAACAAGGTAAACAAATCAGAAAAATCCCTGCGCAGCCAGAGCCACACCAAACTACAGGAAACCCTGAATTTCTTATGGCTTGCTCAAAGTAGTCTGGGGCAGGCACACAGTGTCTCTGTGCAAAGCTCCACCTCTGCACCTGGTGCTCCTGGGTTGCTAGGGCAGAGAGGGCGTGGTAGGAGGGAGGTAGTCTTGTCACGCCCTCCCGCCCGCCGGCTCTAAGTTGGTCCCGGTAATTGGTCTCATTAGTAACCTGACCAGAGCCATCCAGCTGTGCAGATCCGAGAGCGCTGTCATCCGCTTAGCACCCTCGCACCACCCGCGCTCGCTCCCTCCCTCCAGCCACTGCCGCCACCGTCACCCACAACGTCGCCTCTGCTCTCCTCCCGCGCCCAGGGCATGCTCCGAGGTCCAGCACCCGGCCTCGGCAGTGGCCAGGCTTTCGACCCTTCCGTGGAGACATGAAGCGGGACCCACTGGCCGCCCTGGTCCTGGGGCTGCTGCGCATTTACCTAGGTGAGTGGCGAGGGTTCGGGAGGGTGAGTGTTGGTGTTCCCCAGGGGAACGCGGGGACAGAGACTGCAGCGTCCAGTCGCAGACCTCGAGAAGGGGGCAGGCTTCCCGCCGCGAGGCAGAACGATGGGACATCCCTTGGGCGCTTCTCCAGAGACTTACAGCCAGCATCCCGAGACGCCCGGCTCTGTTTTGGCTCCTTCAAACTCACCGCGGGAAGCAAGGGGGCTACTGTACTGGGTGCCTGAGGCAAGGCAAGATGTGTGACCTTGGCTGGCTTGATGCACTGCCTCTCTCTAAGCTCTTTGATGGGGTGGG